AAAAGAAAAAAAATATTAATATAAAATTAAAGGTGTAACAATAACATTATCCTCCAATCATGCACATAAATATTACATATTACATGTCAAATTATAAAAAAGAGTGCTCCAAAAAAGAGTATTGAAAGACTGTTGCCAGCACTTACGAAATGGTTACTTCTATACAAGGTAGGTTAAAATATTAATTTAGCCCCTTAATTTTTAGATTTGTATTAAAATTATTCTTTAAATTAAAAAAAATCTAAATTATATCTAAATTTTTTTAATACTAAAAAGTCTTTTAATTAACAAAAATGTTTCATAACTCGTTATTTTGTCAGAAAATTAGTTTTTTTTTAAATGTTAATGACATGTCAAATCAAATTGTTATTTTTTGTTATTATGACATATTTTTATTTACAAATCAAATTGATATATAATTAAAGTTAAAAAACCAAATAATATTTGTAATTAAAATTCAATAACTAAGTTGATACTTGTCTTTAAAATTTAAAGACTAAATTAGTAAGTATTATCTTCGTTTGAGGACTATTTTGGTGTCAAAAATTAAAATTTAAGGATAATTTTGACATTTTTTAAATTAAAAAACATTTTTAATACAAATCCAAAAGTTGAGGGACTAAATTAGTATTTTAACCTACAAGTTACAAGGAGCTAGGATTGAGATTTTTCTTTTTTCTTTTTTCTTTTTTGGCCTGGACATTGAGTTTGAATTCAGGATTTGGGAAGTTCCCAAACCAATCTTAGACATGAACTTTTAAGAGGCAATACAGTCATTTTAATGAATAGTGTGATGCTTGGATAGCCTTAATAGTTTTATTGTGTGACAATAAGTGTCCATAACAATGTCCTAATTAAGCCAGTGGGTATTAAAAGAGTTCAACTACACCTTCGATGGTTTTTTTTTTTTTTTCTTATTATATAGCGGTTAACAAAGAGTCAATAAAATAATTCTTTATAAATTTTTTTAATTTAACATAAATACTTTATGTTTACTTGAATTAAAAAATTAAAATTTATATAGTTTTTAAAAACTAACTTAATTAAAATACCACCTAGCTGCTAAAAAAAATAGCCACGCCAAATTGTTTTCCTTTTTCTTTTTCTTCAAGGAGCAAAAAAAATCAAGAAATAAATGGTTGGTGCGAAAAATTTGCTGTATTCGTGCTTCTGATTCTATTATTTGAGAGAGAGTAAAGAGGCTACAAGCCTACAAATAAATCATGAGTCACGATGACAAGAGCGAAAAGGAGTGCAGTACAACTTTTGAAGAGAGGAGATCAAAATTACAACATTATACATAATATTATAAATTTAATTTATAATTATTATATATTATTAAATTAATATAATATATTATTAAATTAACATATAATATTATAAATAAATTTTTAAATAAAAATATAAATTATATCAATATATCATATTATAAGATTATAATTATATCATTATTCAAAAAAAAAATGAAAGTGACAAAACCTAGCCTCTGCAAACCAAACAACGTTAATCTCTCCGAATCCTCAAAAGCAAAACTCATCTTAATGTTGGTTTAAGGAAATAACAAAGTGCTTACATAAATTGTATCCAATCTTTACTTAAATTGGACTCTACTCAACTCCCCAGGAAGGAGGTTTGAGGAAAAAATACCCATTTCGCTTTCATGTCCTGTCATGGTCAAATTCCAAACTCCCAACATCACTAGTTCCTATCACAAACCCTCAATGATGCCCCTTCACAAATTTAGCAACCATTATTAGTTACAATACAATTTACTTTTTCTCCCCTATTTCCCGATATAGCACCCTCCCCCTGCGCTTATCTAAAGCATCTCCTTCTTTCCTTCTCCTCTACTCCCCCTTCAACCCCCCTATTTGCACTTGCACTCACAAAAAGCAGATTAATTCAACAAAAAAAATTGAAAATATGGGTCGTGGAAAGATCGAGATCAAGAAGATCGAGAACACCACAAACAGACAGGTGACCTATTCCAAGAGAAGAAATGGTATCTTCAAGAAAGCACAAGAGCTCACTGTGCTCTGCGACGCTAAGGTCTCCCTCATCATGTTCTCCAGCACCGGAAAATTCCATGAGTTCATCAGTCCTTCCATCACGTACGTTTTTTTTTTTTATGAATACCAGATCTCTCTTTCTGTTACATATCTTTTTCTATGTCTTAACATGTGTTTATGTTTGTTTTTGTTAGGACAAAGTAATTACATCTTTTCCTATGTCTTAACATGTGTTTATGTTTGTGTTTGTTTTTGTTAGGACGAAGGAATTTTTTTATGAATACCAGAAAACTGCCGGGGTAGACCTCTGGAGCTCCCACTATGAGGTTAATTAATTAATTTCTCCATCATCACACTTGATCTAATTTGAGATTTTATATTGCGGATTTATTTATTTATTCATTCATTTATTGATTTTTGCAGAAAATGCAAGAAAATTATAAAAGGCTGAAGGAAATCAACAACAAGCTGAGAAGAGAGATCAGGTAAATACTAGCTACCAGACTTAAGGTTTTTTTTTTTTTTTTTGGTAGGTATTTTGGGCTTTATTTATTTATTTATTTGTAACAGACAGATGATGGGGGAAGATTTAAATGGTATGAGCATCAAGGAACTGCAAACTCTCGAGGGAAATATGGCTCATGCTGCGGACAAAATACGAAACAGAAAGGTACGTTGGGTTTGATTTGGATTATTGAGGTTTTGGTATGTTGTTGAAACTTAAAATTAAACTTAATTTTTATTTAACTTATAATCTCCAGCAAAGTGTATAGATTTCCATAAAAAATACTTTAGAAGTTGAAAATAGTTTTTAGAAAAAATCAAAAATATTCTTAAAAAATTGTATTAATTTGACACCGTTTCAGCTTTTGCGGCAAAAAATATATTTTCAGATTCAAGTTTAGCGTAATTAGTTATTTCTTTTAGCTTTGTAAGGTTCGGAAATGAACTAAACATAATTATGAAAGTAATTTTCATCCCAGATATTTTATTCAACTTTTATTCTCTGATATATATATTTTATATTCTAGGGTTTTTACAAGGATTTGTTTTTGGGAAAAAGCTGAAACATTTTCTTCAGTTCTGATTTCTGGAATCAACTCTATTTTTCCATTCCATTCTTGGCCATTTCCTCTGCCCCATATTGGCTGTAGAAGTATGAGCTTACATCATTTTGGCAAACCTGGAAATCCTCAATCCCCACCCAGGAAAAAAATAATCATTTTTATGATTTCTCTTGTATTATTTCTTTATGGTTTCATAAAAAAAAAAAATCTTGGGACATGACACATGAGAGATTCTGATAGAGTCAAGACATCCATTTTCTACAGTTAAATCTGTGTATGGCTTGTTTGGACCTTTTTTTTGTTATATTTAATTTTGCAGTTTATATATACACATAAGAATTGAACTGGGAAATTAATGCAACATGAATATTACCAAGCTAACAATTGCAAATTTATGTATGTTCACAGCTTCATGTGATTAAGACACAAACTGAGACATACAGGAAGAAGGTACTGAATCAGTTTAGATAAACATATATAATTACCTTATCAATTCAGTTTTTAGATAAAAAGTTCTTTGACAGCTTATCTTTTTTCTTTTTCTTTTTTATTATTTTTATTATTTTTTTGTTGAAGGTGAGAAACCAGGAACAAAGACATGGAAATCTCCTCCTACACTGGGTAAGAATTTGATCAATTGATCATCTTTTTTAAACTTGCCAATTGCTTGATCAAATCTCCTTCTAAACATACAGTAATTCTGGAGTGAACATGCTGACATTTCTTTTCTAATTTTTTTATCACCTTATTGGAATTTAATTAGGAAGCAAAGCATGACGATCCCCATTATGGGTTAGTTGATAATGAAGGAGATTATGAAATTGCACTGGCAAATGGAGGCAACAACCTCTACTCGTTCCGTTTGCACAACATGAACCATCACCATGGAGGAAGATTTGAAGATCTGCGTCTTGCTTGAATGCTATATATTGATATGATGAATTGTGGGAGTTGCTAATATACTAATTAGAAGAAGGAAACAATCTCGATCATGTTGGACTAGCTATGGTACTAATTAATCTTACCTGCAAAACTTTGTTAAGTAGTTGGCTTACTAGCTACAATATTAGCCTGAAACTGAAAGTTTATGGAAGGCTTGCATGCACGTTCAATGCCTTCTTTGAACCTTTCACCTGCTATATATATAATTTGCTGTGTGTGATTATCATAATTTAATGTGTCAACTTTCCATGATGCATGTGATCTTATAATTTTTAATGATTTTTATGAATGTGAATGCATGCATTCACTAATTAATATATGAGACTAACTATGTAATTAGTTCATGTGCTAAGTATTTTTATATTATTAATTGATGTGTAAGTTAAATTTTTTTTTCAATTTTTTATGATATTTATTGACAATGAAATCTTGTAACAAAAGGCAATGCATTTTTTTTATTACTTCTATAATTCAAAGTGGAATATGTGATTTAATATGCATTCACTCATTTCATTTGATATTATATAAATGTTATAAAATTTACTATGAAAATCACCATCATTATTTAAATTTAAACATCTATGGTGCAAATTAATAATAGAGAAATACTTTTGTGCGCATAATCACATAAAAAATGTGAAAAAAAGAGCGTAGTGTAGCTAGCATTTTTTTTTGGAGACAACCATATCTCATTCCTTATCCCACCAATTTGAACTTAGGACTTTTTACTTCTAGCAGAAGAAGATGATCACTGAATTATTTAGGTTATTGACAATGTAACTAGCATGTTGGGAAAAGGAAATACGAAATTTATGGGAATCAACGTGCCACATAGCATTTAACGAAGGAAGAACAAAAATGAACAGGAAAAATGAGTTTAAAGACCACTCCGCGGCCTAGACTACAAGTTACTCAACTGGAATCCATTCCAATCTGCTAATGCTGCTGACACCAGGACCTTCTTGATTTAAAGACCAACTTCTCAACCTAGACTACAAGTTACTCAACTGGAATACGTTCCAATCTGCTAATTTTGCTGACAACCCTCAAGACTTTCTTGAATTGACCTAAATAAGTCTTTATATGATTCAATTTTATCGATCCCACTATCAAGATTCCCACTTTTGATTCCAGAGGATAGGTAGTTGGATTACCAAGAAAAAGAATTGAACTCCATGAGGGATAATGGTGTTTCCATTTCCAATCTGGTCTGCAACTTTCCCGGGCTCTTTCCACGGCCGCTTATTGGTCGATCTCTTCTTTTTCCAGCTCCTGTGGAATGTTTATCTTGTTGGTGTTGGGTGTGCTTCTGACTCTTTCTAATATTTTTCTTGCTCTATATTTAGACAATATCATGGAAGTAGTGTTAGTGAGATCAAGTTAATAAGTTGAAGCCCATTTCTTATTTTCTGAAAAAATTTGACTGCCATTGGACTAATTTGATCAGTTCTTGTTCCTGGTTTTCGTATATCCATTGATGTCTTTACTTGCACATTTTGTCAAACACGTGGCAGACTTCTTGCAACACTGATTTTGATTTCCCAAACTGTGATTGGTGAATATATCTGGGTTCATTTGCATTTATCCATTGTTTCACACTGCAACAACTGATACTTGTTTTGTTTCCTGGTCAAAAGTGCTCAATTATTTAGGTGATTATTTCTGGAATTTTCGAGTAGGGACCATATAACATCATATAATTAGACGCATCCATTATTTGGACCACATTGCTATTTCTATAATCTTCAGTTTATAAGAATGACAGCATCAACACCAATGATACCAAGTTTCTACAGTCCAGCTCATAATCCTTCTTCGCCTTCTGGAAAAAATGAACATCTTCAAAATGAAGATTCAACCTCATTTCTTCCTCGCATAAATTCCAGCCAGGGACATGTTGAACTTTGAGAAAAGCTTACTGCTCATATAATTTTTTGATTTTGAGTCTCTGATTTGGAATATGGCCGTAATAGTAAACGCACATTGCTTAGCTGTTTCACTGTGAACCGTCTTACTCCCCACCACCCTCTTTATATTCACCAAAATTCCAAGGCCTGACCACAAAACCACTAATGGAGATTTCACTTCATAACAAAGCCTTTACTCTCCTAATCCTGCTTTATTGTCACTTTCCTTTGCACCACCAGCCTCCGGAGACACATGCCACGCCGGCATGAAAGCAGCATTGCTTGGATTCAAGGCTAAGATCACCTCTGACCCTTCTGGACTGCTGAAATCATGGAATTCTTCCACTGATTGCTGCAGCTGGGAAGGTGTCGGGTGAGATATTTCTTCTGGCTGAGTCATCAATGTTACCCGTCCAGGCAATTTTGCTAACTCCCCTTTCCCTATTGACACATGGATGTTGGGAACTTTATCTCCCTCACTTGGGAATCTTGCCTTTCTCCAGCATCTGGACCTGAGTGATCTCAAGGAACTCAAAGGTCCAATTCCACCAGAATTCGGTAGCTTAAAAGAATCTTAAGTACCTTTTCCTTGGGTTAAACAAGCTCACAGGGCCAATTCCAACAACGTTCAAGCACCTTTTTCAGCTGAAGAAGCTTCATCTTGGCAACAATCAGATTTCTGGTATCATTCCTTCCTCTGTTCTTGGATCTTTGGAATCACTTTCAGAACACTATCTTTAAAAAAACTTGTCTGGGTCAATTCCGAAATCCATTGACTCGTTGTTGTTGCTGAGAGCAATTCATCTTCAAAAAAACAATCTTTCTGGTTCTATTCCTACCAGTATAGGCATGCTTTCTCAACTGATAGATCTAGATTTGTCTGAAAATCAAACCAGTGGTTTCATCCCTCAATCCATTGGTAGACTTTCTGCTTTAAATTTGTTGTCTCTCAATCAAAACCAAATTTCTGGTGGCATCCCTTCCTCCATTGCCAGATTGCGTTCTCTGCAGTTCTGCCTGTTATCAGAGAACACGCTGACAGGTAGTTTGCCACTGTCCATCTGTCTGCTCCCAAAGATCAAAATCTTAATCCTTGAGAACAACAATCTCTCCGGTAACCCGCCTGCAAGGCTGCAACAATTGGTCATCTTTTCACTCTTCCATCTTCTTCTCCAACAACAGTTTTGTTGGCAGAATCCCTCCAAGTTTTGAGAATTTGAAAAAACTTCAGACACTGGATTTATCAGGAAATCAGCTTTCAGGTCCGATTCCTTCCCAACTTGTACTACACATCATTTAGATCTGTCATTTAATCCTCTGGGATTGGTTAAGATACCAGACTGGTTTGCAAAGTTGAAGCTATTTAGTCTTAAGCTGACGAAAACCGGGATCAAAGGAACATTACCATCCTCGTTATCTTCATCATCATTGTCCGCACTAGATTTATCAAGCAATGAATTAACAGGGAAATTGCCACAGTGGATAAGGAACATGACCCATCTTTTTTTTTTTCTAAATTTGTCAAACAATGGCTTCCACTCATCAATTCCAGCTGAATTCAAGAACCTATTGTGGCTGTCTGATCTTGCTCTCCATTTAAAAAAGTGCTCGGGTCACTTAGATACAATTTTCTCCCAAAAAGCCAGTATACTTGGCCATTTCAACTCCATTGACGTTTCTAACACCATTTTTAGTGGTCCTATTGAAGCCAATATTGGAGAGAGACCTGCAATGTGTTGATTTTGACGAGACTCAAGGAGTTTGATGTTTCGGCTAACAGACTATGCGGAATGATTCCTCCACACAAAGCCAATATCCCGGCATCTTCATTTAAGAACAATACTTGCTAGTGTGGTGCACCTCTTCCTCCTTGCAAGAATGCTTAATATCTTTTCTTATAGCGTTCAAAAAGGATCTTCCTTAGGACTATGGTGAAAGAAACACTCTAAGCAAAGAGATATATGGTCTCATTTATTCAATAAAAAAATGTTTAGTTTCCATGTTTAAGAGGAAAACAACTGCTATTTATTTATTTACTTATTTATTTATTTATTTTTATTTTTGAGCTAGATTGAAATGCTTTTAATTCGCATCGAACTTGCGGACCAAGTGGCATTAGCCACCTTACAATGCACTCCCTCCTCCCCCTAGGCTTGGGTTCGACCGAGGCCCCTTGTCAACCTGTTCAAAAAAAATAAATGCTTTTAATTCTGTTTCTTCCTATTAGTTAAGAGCCTGACCTTTTAGGGTTTCACAATTCCTCATTCGGATAGGCAGTGGGCGGTTATCTGTCTATGTCTAGGCCTCCATCAGTTGCGCTAGGAGACATGGGTTGGCCTAAACCACGTCTACCTTCATTAGGCTGCTTTAGGCCCACAATTGCCCCCTTCTACTATTCTTGCCTACAAATCAAAATAATAGCGAGTGAGGCTTTCTTTTTCGGTAGAAATTGAATAAGGCTTTCGGTGTACCCGGAAGGAAGACCTAAGCCTCCATTCACGAGAAATTCTTTCATGTAATGAATATCACGGTATCCCCACCAATATATTATATGGTAATAAATCAACAAATGTGACCCTCTTTGCAATAAATTGTAAGGAGATATTACTATAAATAATTTTTTCAATTATAAAAGGTGATAGTTGTTGATTTTTTATTATATTATTAAATATGATATTGCTAACATAATATCACACTAAATAAAAAACTTCTATAATTTTAAGACATTAAATTTGTGAGATTTTGTTTAAATTTTTTT